AGAATATAGATGGTATAAAACTTGTATAAGCTCTCTCTCTGGAAAGCAAGAAGCAATGCATAGCAAGAAACTGACTCTGTAGCCTGATTTTCTCACCGGGATTAGTATAACAATGTGGCACCAGGCAGGTTTCCCTGCTCTAGTTTTGCCTCTCTCCAATCTATTCTCTGGGCTATCATCAGATTCACCCTTTAAAAAATGCAAATTTGACCTGGTAACTAACTCTCTATCAGAAATCTTTCAATAGCACCCCTGGAGGTCAAGGCCCTTTGAAATGTGACCCCTGCTAATCTTTTCAAATTCATCTCTCACCTGGCCTGGCAGCATTCAGTGCTTTAGTCCAATCAACTTTTATGTTGCCCTTCCTTGCTTCTGGGCCTTTGTACCTTCTGAATTCTCTACATTTCTTCTCTTTGTTTACTGACTAAAATCTATATATCCTTTAAGACTTGGATCGTGCATTTTCTCCTGAAGCAGGGCCAGGTGCCTTTCCTAAGTGTATCCATAAACTACATGTGTATATGTCTGCCATGGCATTTGTAATACTCTGACAGAATTACCTTCTTAATTTGGCTACTTCCCTGACTGGCTGTGGATTCACATCAAGGCAAGAATTGGACTTTTCCCTCCCAATTCACTGCAGTAATCCAAGCCCATTATTAATTACAAAGAAATCCTTTATGACATGAACAGTCTGAGTCAAAAGTGAAGACCAACATTCTGGTTTTTTGTGTTTCTAAAAATTTTTATTGGTATTATACATAAAGAAAATGTAAAGCTTGATGAATTTTCACAAACCAAAACCAACTGTGGATATGTATGTATCCAAAGGAAATGAAATCTGGATCTCAAAGAGATGTCTGCACTCCCTTGACATTGCAGCATTATGTACAGTAGCCAAAATATGGAAACCTAAGCGTCTGTTGACAAATGACACATCTTTGACACTGATTTAAACATCCCAGGCTTCCTTGGGTCCATTAAACACACTGCTCCTTTCTGCCACAAGGTTGTCAAATACACCATTTCCTTCTTCTGGGACACTCCCTCCAACTCTAACTTCTATTTTCTCCTATCATTTCTCAGGTCCGAGCTTAAGGGTCACTTCCTCAGAAATGCCTTCCTTTATTCCCAGGTTAAGATAAATTCTTCTGTTATGTACTCCCACAGAAAGAATAAGTGAATGAATGAATATTTCACCGAAACAATGGAATACTGTATTAAGTAGGACAATATAGACTTTTCGGTTTTTGTGAATCCTCATCAGAGGATATTTTTCCCATTGATTTTTCCCGTACGTACCTCAAGTGGGGCCAGGGATCGAACCTGCAACCGAGGTACATGCCCTTGCCCAGGAATCAAACCCGTGACCCTTCGGTGCATGGGCCGATGCTCTAACCACTGAGCAACACCGGCCAGGGCAGGATAATATAGATTTTAGGAGTTGACTTAGAAATTTTTTTCTCCCAACATATCTGATTTTTATTTTCCTATGATTACATTCATTGGTATGCAGAGAAAAAAGTCTGAAAATACATATACCAAAATGTTAACAGTAGTCATCTCAGGAGAGTGGAATTAAGGAAGATTAACTTTTAATTTTTATTATGTTTTTTGTTTTTATAAGACTGTAATAACTTTTATAAATATAATTTATAAGTGTATACAAATATATATTATAAATGTAAAAATAAACATAAAAGTATAAATATAAAATTTATAGCTTATAAATTATTTGTATAAAAAGAAATAACAAATAGAGTTTAAAATATTTGTTAGAATGGAGGAATAAGTTTGATAACTTGTAAAGATTGTTTGTGCATACCTTTAGCTCACCATTAAAAAACTCCTGGATGGACTCGATCAGCTTCTCAACGGTGGCCTCGCTGAAGAGGTCCTCGCGGGTTAGGTTTCTGAACCTATCTGTGAAGGATTCCAGAGAGAGTCAAGAGATGACAGAGATGTCTGAGTCTAATATCAAAAGAAAGATGTCAGATGATGCCCCCGTACTATGTAAACTTATGCGGTGTAGTGGGCAGAGCCACTGAACATCAGGATAGACAGGTCCTGTTCTCACCTTCACTGTTTGCTCTGCCCAAGTCCCTTCCCCTTTAAAGGTCTCAGTTTTCTCAATTACAAATTCAATGTTCTCTAAGGGCCTCCCAAGCTACAAAAACATGGGAGTGAACTGTAGTGGAGTGGTTAAGAGCACAAACTTTACATCTCAGTTTCAGACTAGCTGGGGTCCTGACTCTCCTCTCCCACTTACTAGTTCTATGACTTTTATCAAGTTAGTTTGCCTGTTGAAGTCTTAGATTCCTCACCTGTAAAACAGGGTTATTGTGAGGATTAAGTGAGGAAATACATACAAGTTATCCCAGTGTGTGGCCCACAGTAGAAGCCATGTTCTCGTTCACATCTTACCTTTGCACAAGCTTTCCTTCTGCTTGCATGTTTCCCCTTCCTCCCTCCCACCTTCCCTCACCTCTCGTTTCATATCTAACTCCTACTCACCCTTCAGGGCTCAGCTCCAGGATGGCTTTCCTGAATCCCCTCTTTGCCCATTTTGGCTAAGTATCCTCCTAGCTGCTAATTAGCCTCTCTATTGGCTCCTTACCCCCACCTCCATCCCCAGTCACACATATTATACTGAGTCCCAATCATTTGTTTCTCTGTGAGTAGACTGTGTCTGTTCTGTTCACTGCTCTATCTCCAGCAGCTAGATCAGTGTTTAGAGCACAAAAAGGTATCCACAAATATTTGTTTAATAAATGTACAAACGAATGAATGTAGTTCCTCAAACACACCATAGTCTTTCCTGTCTCGTGCACATGCCCCACCTCTCTGGCATGCTCTCTCCTCTACTTCTCACAGGGGTTGCTCTTTCATGTCCTTGAGACCTTTAGGTTTAAACAGCAGTCTCAGACAGGGGTTCTCTGACAAACATCGTTTTAAAGTAGGTTCCCATCCCCTTATTTTTTGTCCCAGCCCCTTGTTTAATTCTTTCATAGTGTTTATTACAAGTTGTAATTACTTTATTTACTGTTTCTTTACTTATTTTGGTCCTTCTCAGCACTATGATGTAAATTCTGTGAGTGCAGGGACCATGTTGGTTTTGTTCATTGTTGTATGTTCAGCAACTGGTACTTAATAAATGTTTGTAGAATGAAAGATAGTTATTTTGCAGCCCAATCCAGATCCCACCCACACCTACCTTTCCCTTCTCAGAATCCTTCTAGTGCTTAGACTGTGCAAGTCAGCAGGATTATTTGTCTCAGGACCAAGTTAGTTTCCTGTATGTCTAGAATAATGTATCTTATCTCATCTTGCCAACCATATTGTAAGGTCTTAAAGTCAGTGATCAAATTCATTGTCAAAGTCTAGTCAAGGGCTGATCACTCAGCCACTTGACTCGAAAAAAGATGCCCCTCACCCTCCATCCTTTCCCCCTTTTACCTGTAAGTCCAAGGCTACTTGGACCCTTTTCAATATCCTCTAAGTTGCTCAGCTGCAAATCCACACTTCCTGAATCACTGTCAGAAGCATAAGGGATCACTACTTCCCAACTACGGATCCTAGGAATAAAGAAGGGATTAGAAAAATTAGTTTTTCAGGACTGCTTTCTGTCTCATCACTCAAGTAAAAGCTTAAATATCACTTTTCAGAAGCATTTATTGATCACCAATCTAGGTTAAGCAGCCTCTCCCCACCCCAGTCCCATAGTTACTTTATTTTTTCATAGTATTTAATCATTACCTACAATTATCAAGTTAAATTGTGTTTTTTATTGACAGTCTCCCATTAGACTATAAGCTCCATGAGAGGAGAAATCTTGTCTACACGGTCATAGTTGTATCCTCAGCACTTAGGACACTGTCAGCCTCACAAGGAGTGAATGGATAGATAAGAAACACTATGCCACTTTTAAAAAGAGACTAAGACAACGAAATGCTGCTCAGTGGTGAAAAAGGAAATCTTACCTTTTGCTATACAGCATGGGTGGACCTGAAGAGCATTATGCTAGGTGAAACAGCCAGTCAGAGACAGTCGAGTACCATATGATTTCACTCATATGTGGAATGTAATGAACAAAATAAACTAACAAACAAAATAGAGACAGGTTCATAGAGAACAGACTGACAGCTGTCAGAGGGGAGGGGGGTTGCCAGGCTGGGTGAAAAAGGTGAGGGGATTAAGCAAAAAACCAAACCAAAACCAAACCAAAAACACAGACGTACACAACAGGATGGTGATCACCAGAGGGAAAGGGTGGTGGGGGGAGGTAGGAGAGGGTAAAGGGGGGACAAATGGTGATGGAAGGAGACTTACTTGGGGTGGTGAACCCACAGTATACAGATGATGTATTACAGAATTGTACATCTGAAACCTATATAATTTTATTAACCAATGTCACCCCAATACATTCAATTAAAAAAAAAGGGGACTGAGGTAAAATACCCCCCACCTCCCTTAATCCCCCTTACCTCTTCTTTTTTTCTATAGACACAACACCTTCTACTATATGATTCACTTATTTATGATAATGTTTTTTTGGGTAATAGTTTTATTTTTAAATTTGTCTTTATTGATTTCAGAGAGAGGAACGGAGAGGGAGAGAGAGAGAAAGAGAGAGAAACATCAATGATGAGAGAGTCATTGATCGGCTGCCTCCCGCACGCCCCCACTGGGGATGGAGCCCGCAACCCAGGCATGTGCCCTGACCGGGAATCTAGCTTTGATCTCCTGGATCCTAGGTCAATGGTCAACCGCTTAGCTACGCCCGGCTGGGCGGGCAATAGTTTTCAATAATAGAAAAATATTTCCTCAAGTTTTTGTGTTACTCACAATGTAGTCTATAGACATGACACATTTTTAAGTTTAATCTCTATTAACATTTTATCTGCCAGTAGGTTTAGATAATAACAAAGCAATAAATTGATAACTTAAAAATAAAAAGGCCTATTTTTTTTTTTTTTTAAGAGAGAGAGAAAAACATTGATGTGAGAGAGACATATCAGTTGGTTGCCTTCCACATGCCCCGACCAGATGGAGCCTGCAACTGAGGTTCATGCCCTTGGCCGGAACTGAACCCGCGGCCCTTTAGTCCGCAGGCCAGCACTCTAACCACTGAGCCAAATCAGCTAGGGCAAAAAAAAAAGGCCTTTGAAAGTGAGAGGCAAACAAGCATTTATTTGAGATCAATAAGAATAGCTATTTGGGAATCAGTTCAGGTGGAAGCCCAAATAATGTTCCGATTAGGAGACAAAGGCAAAGGGTATTTATGAGAAACGGAACGGAAATGATTACATTAATAGAAGGAAAGCATTTCTATTAGTGAAGGTAACATAATATAGTGACATTAATTCTAGGCTGTGTTTTAAATTTTCAGTCAGGTAGTCATCGGTTAGAAGAACTGCTTTTTTTTGGTTATTTTTGCAAACAGGTCTTGGTTATTCTGCCCTGTTTTAACATTCCAAGGTTTGAGACATAAGACATTCAAGGCAGTTCCTCTGGCATGGCAGCTCCAGCTCCATTTTTTTTCAAAAGACATCTTTATGATTTTTTTTTGGTTGCCTCCTATATGTGTCCCGACCAGGGATCAAACCCGAAACCTGGGCAAGTGCCCTGACCAGCATTTGCTGAATCTATGGTGTAAATATTCCCACTGTGGCCAAATCAAGCTACCAATGGTACTTTGGGAAGAAATGTGCAGTGGCACACCGTCATATATTTTCACTATCTAGATATAATAGAGATAAGCTGCCACAAAAACATAGAAAATGGTAAAATGTAGTAAAACAATTAGGAAATGATGAGTTTGGTTTTCAGTATACTTTATTTCATTGTAAGTCTGTATAATTAATTTTTCTAAGTAGCTACATTTAGCAACCAATTTGCAAACTCCTGATAAATTCAAGAATTGACTTTGCAAACTAGTATGAGACAGCTCCAGCACACTATTGGTTGTCTTGTTATTTTAAATATTTTAGGTTATTTTTTTTTATTATTGATTTTAGAGAGAGGAAAGGAGAGGGGCAGAGCCATAGAAACATGGATGAACCCTGGCCTGTGTGGCTCAGTTGGTTGAGCATCGACTGGAAGGTCGCTGGTTTGATTCCTGGTCAGGGCACATGCCTGATTTTCAGGTTCAGTCCTCAGTAAGGGGGGTGTGCCAGAGGCGTCCAATTGATGTTTCTCTCTCTCTTTCCCTCTTCTTTCCTCTCTCTTTTCAAAAAAAATCAACAAAACATTTTAAAAAACAACAACAAAAGAAACATTGATTAGAGAGAAACATCCATCATCTGCCCCCTGCATGCCCTCTACTGGGGATCGAGCCTGCAACCCGGACATGTGCACTGACCTGGAATCAGTCTGGCGACCTCTTGGTTCATGGGTCAACGCTCAAACACTGAGCCACACTGGCTGGGCAGTTGTCTTATTATTGAGTTGAAAGATTCCTTTACATATTCTGGATCAGCACTGTCCAATAATACTTTCTCTGATAGTGGAAATGTTCTATAATTCTGCCTTGTCCATATGATATCCACTAGTCAAGCATGGCTATTGAGCACTTAAAATGTAGCGAGTACAAACTGAATTTTTATTTTTGCTTAATTTAAATTCAAATTTAAATATTTACATGCAGCTAGTATCTACTGAACAGCACAGCGCCAGACATAGCAAGAACTGACTCTCCCTATTTGGGATAATAATATCTGGGGCACTAATAATGACAATGAGTTACCATATTGTGCATAGTTCGTATGTTCATAATAGTTAAAAGCACAGATTATGGAGTCAAACTGCCTGGGTTCACATCCTCCAGTTTCCTTCTCTACAAAACGGACCAACAGCACATACCTCACAGAGCGGTGCCAGGGAGTAAATGGAATCGTGCACGCAGAGTGCTTGGCGCACTGTCGGGCTATCCTGCTAACCCTCAATAAATGCAGTTAGTTATTCTGTAGTTCTTAGATAAGTCGCTTCCATTTGTGAGCCTGTTACTTCGTAATTTTGTAAACTGGTTACTACGCACCTCGGAGAGTTACTATGAAAAGTCACTGAGTCAACACAAACGCTTTACAAATCAGATAAAATGTCACTCATAGGTCAGTTATTAACAACCGAGACAACCTTTGGAGGAAATTACCATCATTTTCCAAAGAGGGGGGGAAATGTACCACCCTGAATACCACCCTTACGCACATGACCCTTCCCATTTCTTTAAAATTGGCCGGGCTGCAGAGACGACCGAGTGACAGGCGACTGACCAATCAGAGGAGGCCCCGTCTCCGGCCCGCCCTGAAGCCTTGCCCAATCGCGTCCCGGCAGAGCCCGGAATAGGACCGTTGCGAGACCGCCCGTTCTAAGCGGGCTCTGGCGCCGGGGGGAGCGGGCCTGCGCGCGGGGACCGGAATTCCGGCCGCGGCGACGGGGAGCAGCCCGGCCCTGCGGGACGGCGGCGGCTGACCTGCTCTTAGAGCCCATCTTAGCACGCGGAGCCTGCCGCGAGTCCCCGGCGTCTCCTCCGGCGCGCTCCTGGAGCCACTTTCCCGAGCGGAAGTCAGTCTGCGGTTCCGGCCCTGCTGGGACCTGCTCCGAGGAATGGCGCCGCCGGGTGAGGTGCTGCGCATGGCTCGACGGCGGGCCCCCGCGGACGGCTCGCCCCGGCAACTGGGCCGGCGCCCGCGGGAGGCTAGTGTTCGCCACTCGGGAGCCTGCCAGGCGGGGTCCCCGTCCTCTGCGGGACTGGGGCATGGGCTCCGGCTCTCTCGGGGTCGAGGGTCCGA